ACCGGTACTTATTTGCATGTAATAATATTTTTTCCAAACGTTCATTCGATAGCAAAGATCCCATATATCGATACTCTTACTATGTGATAAAATGAATCCCGGTAACTGGGTTCATATTTCAATCATGATTTTATCACAAGTTGTGATAAATATGAATATTGTTATTATTACGATATGAAGGGTTGTGGGAATGCGTAATTCGTTAATGTTGACTAATCGACTAACGCTAAATGATAAAACCATTTAATTTGTTTAGTCATAGACGATATAGGCGCCAATACGTTTTATTTATTATTTATTTTTATTTTTTAATTATGCACAGTAGAATCTTCCAAGGTATAATTTGTACTATTGAATGTCTTACAATCTCATAGGAAAAGTCCGAGCTGGATTTTTGACGAATCAAATAGTTTTTGATCCGTAAATATGCCGGTTCACATCAAATATGATATACGACGCGTCATTACTCTGATCGATAAATCAGGATATAGGATTGAATCAAAACCGAATTTCCGTAGTATAACATTGAATCGAAGCGATTTTCCGTAGTATAACATTGAATCGAAGCGATTTTCTGCAGTATAACAATGAATTGGAACTATTTTCGGCGTCCTAACAAAAATTCCTTTAATTGATAATCCGCGAAAGGAGGAGGATCTAAAAAAATCGATATTTTATATAAACATATATATATATATATACAAAAATAATCATTCCTGACTATTAAACTACCTCTTGTGGGCTTTTAATAAAGTTGTAGAGCTAGTTTTTGTGATTCTAATGATAATAAGATTACTAAAATTGGTCTAGTAGTTCTTGAGATATCTTTTCTCTTTATGATCATATAAAATTGGTTAAAAGAAATTTTATGATTGTAAGAGAAAAGTTAAGAAATCCTAGGCCAATTTTACTTATATTGTTATTAGAATCGCAAAAATTAACTCTACACCCTTAATAAATAATTTACTTTATATAGTCAGGAATGATGATTTTTGTTTATATATAAAAACTAATTTTAGAATTCACCTTTCGCTGATTATCAATTAAGTTAGAAAACTTTTTTATTTGTTAGAACAATTTCAATGAACCAGTTTTGTGGACTGGTTCACAACTCATGGTCTAGTTCGCGGTCCTCTACTAGACCTGGACCGGGACCGTAACATCCCTAGAAAAGAGAAAATTCGGTTTAATGTAAATAAACGTGAAGTCAAAAATAAAGATTATAAAACTCAATGAAAGTATTTAAAAAACTTAAATTGGGAATAGATTATTACGATTTAATACACGAGATAAAGGTAAGTACAGTACATGAGATAAGGTCATGTAAATTATGATAAGATAAGGATTTTGGAATTTCTTTTGAGTACGAAACTTTGTTAACGAAGTGCAAATGGTGAGGTCGTACTCTGTTTTGATGATTTTCTATGTGTAATCATAAATACTAAGTATGTATTTCTGTTTAAGTTTCATACAACCTAACAAACGAAATGGGCAAAAATATCTCGATTACAATTTTGGTACAGATTTACTATTTTTTACGCTTAAACTTTATACAAACGAAGAAAATGGATTCATTCATAAAATTGTATACAATTGACTTAGATACACATTAAGTTGATTTTGAATTTTAAATTAAAGAATTTTTTTTTTCAAGTAAATTAAATTTACTTTTTTATATTTGGTTTGTTTGTTAATACAGTCAGACCTCTCTAAGTGCACACCCTCTCTAAGTGCACATCCTCTCTAAGTGCACACCCTCTCTCAATGCACACACTCTCTCAATGCACACACTCTCTCAATGCACACACTCTCTCAATGCACACTCAAATTCTGGCCCAAATATATACTTGACCCTCTGTAAACGCACTATTTTCTTATTATTTTCTAAATGCACGTTGTTAAAGTGCGATCTCAAGGATTGCACTTAGAGAGTTCTGACTATAGATGCTGGTGAAACTAAATAACGTTGGTGAAACTGGAGACTATCTAAAATCTGATTGGCTGTTATATTAAATTTCACCAGTTTCACCATCATTCACCAAGAGTTTCACCAGTTTCACCAGCATCTATACTCCGGAGTGAGTTATATGTTTTATTATAGTCTGGAGTACTCCATTAACCTGGAGTACTCCATTAACAACCCTATTCATAGACAATCAATTCAATAGACAAGTTCATTTTGAAGAATTTATTTTACAGACAGTTCATTACATAGACAATCTTTAACAGTGAATAACTCCTGATCTATTGGTCCTTTTTGGATAATTGAATTACCAGAACGTTTAACTTGAAGATTAGAAGTTTTTCACTGTCAAAGATTATTTATAAAATAACTGTCTGTAAATTAATTGTCTTCAAAATGAACTTAACTATGAATGGATTGTCTATGAAGTAAAATGTGCAATGATTTTCCATAAAATAATACGTACCCCTTATATTACGATAGATAAAGGATTAGAGTAAATTAGAAATTTGTCATTGTTTTTTGTCTAAATTACGCAGATCAGTATAGTATGGCCGAATTTTGGAATCTATACTATACTGATCCGGTGTTATATATATCAATATGGTATAGCTTTTAATTTCTGCCTATACTACGTATACTGATCTGCTATAATTTCGTTTTTGTGTTGCAATGGCCCAATTTTGGTTTGGTCACATGATATACAGGAAGGACGCAACAATATAGTGTGCTTATTCCATTTAACTTTATAATAGTAAATAAGAATGTTCAATTAAATATATATCGTATACAGTATCGGTATTACCGAAAATAGACAACTCACCAGATTTTTGGTGCCGAAAATTTGACAAAGGTTATTATGTTTTACTGTTTTACTAATAAAATTGGACCCGAATATAAGCAACCTCTTCACTTTGGCTTTAAAAAAAAATCAATTTTTTGCAATATTTTGGTTGCTTATTCTCGGTAATACAGTATACGGAGTTAATTAATTAGTATGCATATATATATTTAATAATCATATTTTTTATTAATATTGACGGTCTTTGCTCAAAATTTTGAATCCAATAATTCTTTATACGTTTTTCCTTTATCAATATTAGCAACTTCCAGGTAAATCAAACTCACATTGTGGATGAATAGAAGGGATTTTGACCTATTTGTTATATAAATTTAGAAAGTACCAGTATCAGTATTATGAAGATTAGCACTAAGATGGAGTTAATCATACTATTTGCCTCGAGATCATGCACAATTGTGCACGTACATAACGTACTAAGGGTTACTATATATAATAATACTAGATTTTTTTAGATTTAGAAACAATTAGATATAATCGGTCTAAATCATGCGCAAAAAAAAAAAAATTCGCGTAATTAATTTAACGAATTATAAAAATACACGTTCAGCGTAAGTAAAAGATTTTTCAGAAGGCAATGACAGTAATGTTGTTATTCCTCTTTAAATCTATTAACAGTATGAGATGAAAATCTCGGATTTATAAATCAATTCTATTCCAGAATTGATCACTTGTGTTATTGTTGTCATTATGTAATCGAACCTAATTTTGATGCTCTGTGAATCACAGTAATCGTCCCGATTGTTACAGTTGTTAACAAACGAGGTTTTGCGCATGTACAGATATGTAAAGAATTTCTACTTGAGAACGTTAATGTAGTATGAAAAGATTCTGAATAATTTACGTAATGTACTACAAGCGTTTACGTTAAACAAGCACCGATTAGGTAATTGCATGACAACACGAAGAATAAAAATTTACTCTACTCGGAAATATGGGAAAAAATTCAATTACGCAAAAGAATAATTATAACGCATTTAACAAATAGAATGTTTCCTTAACAATTGTTAAGAATCTCATGTGCGAATATTATTACCTAATATTTTTTTTTTTAGACATAAGCTATTTATCACATAATGACCCTTCCTTTAATGTGATTTTTTTTTCTTTTTTTTCTCATTCAAATTTATTATATACTGTATTTTAGTTTCTCTTAAATCATTTTGCTTCTCAAGGTTCAAAAATTAAACCATGATTTATTTAATAATATAAACTGGATAGCTTAACATCGATTTATAATATTCTTTCATTATCCGATCTCTTTTACATTCGTTAATATTATATATAATGGTACGCTTAATAAACAACTTAGCATTAGTATGTTCGGAAGATCAATCTGCTCTTGACGCCCTTACTCTTGGAGATACCAATGTCTCTAATACCTTTTCATTTACGTTAACGCTATATCCAACCGATTGTATGTGCGACTTTCGTATCAATGCATACGGATGTCCCGAATCAAATATCATTCTTATTATACATTATGTCTTGTTGGTGGCTACTATCTTAAACATACTAGTTAGTGGTTGTTTTATATATTCGAGGACTTTTAAAAGAAAACAGCCGGTGTGGCTTGCTCCTACACGAAATAGTGGCATTCTTAGACCTAAGCCCCAAGATGCTTTTCATATCATTACGGTTGTTTATGGATCTTGTAAGCATTTTTTTTTCATGGTACTAATGTTGTACCATAAAATTTTCTACCATAAAATTTTTTTTGCAAAATAAATAACATTGTACGCGTTTCCATCTGAAATAGTTCAAATTATTCACACTATCTTAATCATAACATCGATGTATCCAAATACTATAACAGCTGAGAGTATGTATTTAAAAAAAAAAATTCAAAGTTTTTATTTTGAGTTTTTTTTTTTTTTTTATTAACTTGTTTACCGAACAGTTGGACATGATATTCCGCGGACGATTGGATTTGGATTGGCCGTATTGCTGCCAGCTAGCATTGGTATATATTTCTTATTATTCAACTCCCCAAGGATTTAAAATTTTATTTCATGATTCTTGGCGTATATCTAAACTTTTGTTTAATACGCATATATATAACTATTATCCCGCAAAAAAGTTTACTTGACTCCGACAATAGGCACTCGCTCAATAAGATGGACTCCTAGCAAATACTTTATCGATAGCATAGGTTTCACATTAATATTGGGTCCTCTCATGACAATGCTTCCAATTGCCTACCTAACGGGTTTTTACGCTGATCGTGGAGCTCCTCCATTATCATCTTCAGGTTCTTTACTACCTGAAACGAATGATTCAATTCTTACGAGGGAAAGTGCAATTTTGTTGGCAAATAAATTTTTTAGAATTCACTATTTAATGTGGTCTGTTTGGGGATTTTTATACATTATAATTGTTGTTTATTTTTGGTATAAATTATGCTTAATACTGCGAGTGCACACGAAAGAGTTAAAAGAAAAAAAACGATCTGGTGATTATGATGTTGAATGGAAATTAAAGATGATTGCAAGAGCTACCAAGAATGTAGGCTAACTAAAAGAAAAAAAGTGCATAGATACATATATATGGGTAAGTCAGTAGAAATCAAGCAAATTGTTTTTATTGAATTTTTTTAAAATTTATACATCAATAACTTAACCAAAACTTTATCAAATTTAATAAAAACATTTTTAAATAAATTCTATAAGTTAGTAGAATTTATTTAAATTTTTTTTTATTAAATTGTTAAGTTTTTGTTAAGTTGCTGTTGTTTAAAGTTTTAAAAAAATTTACTTAGACAAAATTTACTTGACTTCTACTGACTCACTCCATATATTTATTTAGATTTTTATTACATACATATATTTATTATTATTCTCTAATTAAACAGTTGTCCGTAATTGCAGCAACGTTCGTAATAACAAATGGATCGTACACTATATTGGCCCTCGTATATGGACTATGGCAACATAAAATCACAATATTCATTGCTGAAATTGACATATTCTATTTAATTATTTGGTATTTTCCTTTTCCCATTCTACTTTCCATCGCTCAAGCAGTTTTTATTTATAAGTAAGTTTTTCATAAATGTTAAAAAATTTTATCAACTTGACATTGCTAAACTATCGGTTTAATAATAGCGCATATAACCCAACACCAAATGGTCCAACATTTGCTCATGTATCAACAACTTCTTCCACCCTTGATAATGGTGACTCGCTATCAAACAATGATAAAAAAATGGAGTTTGGATTAATAATACAAACTTTAAATGGCTGTAAATATCCTCCTACAGTTCGCTATAAACAGTCTTTAGATTCTTTCAATTCAAAATCTACTGTAATGTCATCTGATCCAACTTTACAAGGAAGTAAATTTAACGAAGATTGCATAGATGAATATAAAGTGAATTATAGTGGAGGTGATGCATTGTATAAAGACAATTATGACGAACCTGGTGTTTCCTTTACTATTAATAATGTGTCAATGCTAAAAAAACCCGAACCATCAAGGCAAATCAGTTTTAAAAGTTTTAAATCAAATTATTATTATTATAATAGTTGTAGTAATATTCCTGAATTTCCTGAATTATAGAAATAGTAAATTTTTATACAAAAAAGTTATTGGATTTCTGGATCTCTTTTAGTATAGACACCCCGTTAATAAAATGTATTATTAATTAATTATAGAGTTATTTATAGATATATATATTATATAATCTTAAAAAGGTTTAAATATATAAAAAACATCTAAACTAAAATCTAAAATTTATTTACGCGGGCCTAATTCTTGTTACATTTTAAAGTATATACAGTATTACTTAATTCAAAAAGCTATAAAATTTATGAATAAACTCTTAATATTATTAAATATTTAAAACTAATAAAAATCAATAATTTATATTAAATAAAAGAATTTCTATTTGTACACGGATGTATGTACACGGGTAATATAGATATCTCAAAATATTGATTATAAAACCACTTTTTGGCTTCTAACAAAAAAAATTC